TGGCCTGCTTCCCTGGCCTTGGTCTTACTTTTAAGTCATTTTTGGTAACTTTTGAGGTCTTCCATTTAGAAACAGTCCTTCCCCTTGGCCTTTGAACATTTATATCTTTTAGTTTTTCTCCTGACTCTGTACAATCCTCATCATATTCTTCCTCCCTCCCTCCCTCCCACCCTCCCTTCCTCCCTCCCTCTCTCACTCCTTCCCTCTCTTCTTCCCTCCCTCCTTCCCCCTCTCCCTCCATCCCTCCATCCTTCTGTCTCCCCCACACATACACAGGAGTTAATTTCTGAGATCTTATCCCTGACCTTCAGACTCAGACATGCCCTGAGTTTTGTAGGAACAGAGACATAGAATGGTTCTTCAACATCATCCCACACTAAGCTCCCTAACTCAGGTTGACACATGGCTGTGCCATCCCTCACTTCACAAGAGCTATTCTGTACAGCTCACTCATTTTCTCTCCTTATATACCCCTCATATGGTATTCCTTTCCTTCCCCCATACATCTATTTTTGCTTGCACGTTCTTCCTCAGCACTTTCAGTCCGCTCCTGACTGTCCAGCTTTCAGAGAAAGGTGTCTTCTTGGCAAACCACCATTGACCACTAGAGCCCTGTATCTACCCCATGTTATCTTTTACTGAATATAACTCCTATCACCACACTTAACTACTTCCTCTATATACTCTAAATGCCTGTTCCCTGTGATGGTACAGACCTGATCCTTGGGATGATAGGGCAGGTGGATCACAAGTTGAAGACCAGCGTTGAAGATCCTGTCTCAAAATAAAAAGTGAAAAAAGGGGGGCTGGAATATAGATCAGTGTTAGAGTGCTTGTTATCACCAGTAAAACATACACACACACACACACACACACACACACACACACACACACACACACACACACGCAGAGAGAGAGAGAGAGAGAGAGAGAGAGAGAGAGAGAGAGAGAGAAGACAGACAGACAGAGATATCTCAGTGCATACCTTTCTGACTTCTCTTGTGGTGTCAGACAGAAAGGGAGAGTCACTTTGAAAACAGAAAACAGCTGGAAACAAGAGAAGTTAAGAACATGCAGAGGCTGCTGTCTTGTTTTGGAAAGTGTATATAGAGTGTTTTGGGGGTTAGGTTTACACGTTTACAAAAATTATACATGAAAACTTCAGAGGGAATTACACATTACTTTCAATCTCCCATTGACTCCAACTGATCTATAGTTTTTGGGACAAAGTTGTTTAGAACAACTTTAATAGCCTTGCCTAATTAATGTCTAGATACTACTGGGGCCAGAGCTTTGAGTTTACTGCAAACTACAGCACTTGCTGCAATTTTGATCCATGCTCATATGACAGTATTATTTTTCTTTAACTGGTAAGAATGAAGCCAATTGTGTAAAGTATCAAGATCTTCATTCGGCTATTTTCTGATATATAGGATATTAAATTATTGTAATAATCATATAATTTTACTCCGGATAATGTATATGATTACCATATCAAATATATTACATAGATAAATTCAAACGTTGCTATTGGTTTGTAATTGGAAGAACTTAGGAAAGCATATAATCATCAGAAATTTAAAGAAATTATTGTCATTAAAATGTGTAACTAAACTGGGCATGGTGGTGCATGCCTTTCATCCCAACACTCACTTGGGAGGCAAAGGCAGGCAGATCTCTGTGAAACCAGCCTGGTTCACAAAGGGAGTTCCAGGACAGCCAGGGCTGTTATACAGAGAAACCCTGTCACCTGTCACAAAAAAGTGTTTGAAATGTGTAAATAAAAGTAAACTGTAAACTCTCTCTCACTCTCTCTCCTCTCTCTGTCTCTGTCTCTGTCTCTGTCTCTGTCTCTGTCTCTCTCTCTCTCTCTCTCTCTCTCTCTCTCTCTGTGTGTGTGTGTGTGTGTGTGTGTGTGTGTGTGTGTGTTTGTGTTACTAACAATAGAACACAAGGACCATGTGAGATAAAAACTCTACCACTGAGTATAATCCAAGCCCTATTCTGGCATATAGTTAGTGTAATGTAGAAATTTTATATTAAAGAAATACCAGATGACAAAACTTAATTACTGTGAAGTGCTTTAGGAGCTTTTAATAATAAAGAAGCCATCTTCTATTTCCTGAGACTGTGACCAGCTTTCCTTTTCAGAATTGTGGTTTGATGTCTCCTGAGAGGAGAGAGAGGAAACATAGCTGGCCTATAAGATGCTCACTCTAGTGTCCTGTTGTCTTACACTACTTGCTCTAATGGATGCAGAGAAAATGCTGAGGTCCCAGAACTGATATTGCCAAGTCTTCTTTTTTGTTCATGCATCCTTGTGGGATCCAGTCCTATATTCAAGTCACCCTGGTGAGGAGGGACCATGTCTTGACCTGTACACTGCACTCCCTTACACACAGTACCCCTACTTTTGTAAAAAACATGTCCCCTTCTCCCTAGACTGTTCATTGCTTCTTCTCTTCTGATGTTCAAATGACCACTCAGGCTTCAGGATCCAGGTTCCACCATATCCCAGTGACAACTGTTAAGACTAAAATGTGCTGAAAATCTATTAATAAACTATTTTTAATACAATTCTCTATACTGGGATGCTAAAAGTAACTAAAATTGTTCCACATTAAATGGTGTGTTGCTAAACTCTCCAGGAGCCTCTCCCAGAACTGTGCCACATAGTGCCAGACTAAAATAAACAAACAAACTCTGTTTGGAATAGAATACCTGATACCCTCACTTCCTGAATCAGCCCCTAAATAATGGAAGAATTCTCCTCCCTGCGTAGCTTTGTGATTCATTCTTCACATTTCTAAAAATTGTCACCTTTTCATTGTTTGCGACACAGAATTGTAACTGGAAAAATATTATTTCCAAAATAAAGAGCATTTTCTATGGAGCAATTTTAGTTATATTTATAAACACAAACAATAATGTTGTTAATGACTCCAACATTATTTTTAGAGAATAGAATGGAGAACATTTTGTTTCCTAAGCTTTTAGATCTGGCTATGAACTTCAAATTACCAGCAGGCTTAAACTTCCCAATCGTGCCTGCCTACCTCCTTGTACATTTAGTTATTGCCCTGAAATATGTGTCAATCATTTCATTATAAGGATGGATTGTAGATAATTGCCAAGTACCACTAGTTAGAACCCTGTTTCTGGGAAGTCAAAGGCTTAATTTTTCTTTTCTTCTGTTCAGAAAAAAAGTCTTGACTATCCAGAGGAACAGAAAGATCTTCGCTGTTGGTAGGTGGAGATATTCCTCAGAACTTCTTTAAGCCAAGGAGCAGGGCTAATGTTTAGGTGATTAAGCAGGCATATATGCTTTCATTAAGAGGGAAATGACTACAATAATTCAAGACACTGATTATTTACCAAATCAATTACAACAGCTTATTAGGCTGTGCTGATGTGAACAGACTGTTTTGTGAGCCTCCGTGATTACAGCACCTGAAATGTTAGGGTAAGCTGAGCTTTCAAGGGCTGCATGTACTCAGGATACCACTGGCTGTTAGGCATGAACTGCAACTTTGCCATCTTAAACAGTGTCTGTCTTCCTCCTTTAACATCCACCATGCTGATTCAAAAGAGCAAAATCAATCCAGAACATTTGGTTATCACAACCACGGGAACAGATATTTGTTGTTACAAGTTTGGTAACCTGGAGGGTGTGCCTGAGACAGGCTCTGTGGACCCTGCCTGCAGAATTATGAACTGACTCATTTGTACTGCACCTGAAACACTATACATGTGGCAAAAAAGTTTGATACACATATATTTAAAATAAGCACGAAAAATACCTTAGGTCTTAATGATAACTTTCATTATTCTTTTAACCATGTAGAGTTGAATGATGTGCATGACAATTTCAATAGCTAACTTTAAAAAGATGTAAGTCACAAAGCAAACAAGGAGCCCCTTTTTTTCAGAAAAATGTATTTGCAATTCAAATGTTCATATAAAAAGCATAGATTTTAAAAAGTTCATGGATGTACGATTAGAAGTGCTATGGTTTTGCCATTCATTGCAATTACATTCCGAAATGTGCAGAGCGCCACTCTCTGCTGCTGTGTACATCTGTCACACGGATGTCACTCTCATGACCACCTCCCCGGAGCCATCATCTTCCGACACATCTTCATGGGCCCTCATTCGATTGAATAGATGTAATAGCACATAGCCACACTGGAACCGTGGTGAGGTTAGCTGCGTTGGGTGGACCAAGTTCCTGTTCCTCAGGGCTGACAGCGGCAACCACAAAGTCCTACTTGTGGAAGACTCCCCTCGGCTGCTTTCTTCAATGTCTGTGGCTTTGTCATAATTTAATACATCCCAGTGCAAATTAACAGCTCGCCATCGCTTAAACACTCTGTAAACTGCAGCTCCTTCATGGACAATGAGGCCTAAAATTCAAGGAAAGAAAATGACTATTGACAATTCAAAGTTGGAATCATTATTTTGTGTAAAGATCAAGAATAACAAACAAAAGACTAATCACTGTTACTCAACATTATCAGAGAACACAGCATTCTGAGGAATAGGGCAGCCACAGGTAAACTACTTCTTGCTAGGTAGAGCTGCACATTACTTAGAGGTAACTCATTAACATGGGGAGAGTTCAGCTGTCATTATGGAAAATCCCTTCCAGCATCCTGACTCAGAGTACACATAGAAGTATTCCATTGCTTTCAATCCTTGTGTTCATTTTTTTAAAAACTTAACATTGTACCAACTGTGTCTCATGCAGTATGTTAGGAACTGGGATGGAAGTGAGAGATGACGCAACCATGGATATCTTGAAACCATAATAAAAATCTCAAAATCACAGTGGGAAGAAATGAAAGCTTCTTACAGGCATGACTGAAGAGAAAAATGCTATACATTGTTTATTAGTGCATACATGTGATGAAGGTATAAAAATATGAAAATAATAACTATTAAACTTAAGGCTGTAAGGAGGGAAGGGGTAAATGAAACTAGTGGGGGCTCGAACATGTGCTTTGAGTTATATTTCAAATAGAGAAATAGGGACACAGACATTCAACTATCATTTGGAATTGTTTTTGCCCCTGGGTGATTCAAATGTCCCAGACAACAGATAATTCATTAGCAATCTAACATCTACGCAAAGCTTTGGGGAAACAAAAATGTTGTGAACCTAACTTTGAAGAGCAGAGAAGTCATAAGTAGACTACAGAAAGGAAAACAAGTCTTCACAGAGAGAAAAATAGTGGGGTTTGCACCAACAGAATAGGGCACAATGAGTGATTTAAAGATCACTGATTTACCACCCTTACTTTCCTTCCTCTTGCCCTTCCCTTTTCATTTCTTCTTCTTTCCCTCCCTTCCATACATTCATCAGCTGAAACAATGCCAAGCAGGTGATGAACATATCTAGTCCTTGTAAAAAGGAAGGCAGAATTTTGTCTATTCCCACAACCTTAGCAGAGGAAAAGTTTCTTGTGTATGTAACTAAACACCTTGCAGAGACATTTCCAGGTCATAAAAAAAGTGTGCAACCTGGTAAGTAACACATCTTTGAGGCAAAGTCTTCTATGTCACAAAATATCAGGGAAAATATGCTCTGTCCATTGTGAGAGAGACACAAACACACACACACACACACACACACACACACACACACACACACACACACACACACACAATCCTTGTTGAAGTTTACTTTTCCTACAGGAATGACAGGAGTTGACCTAACTGACTACTTGTTTAGAGGGAACAGCCAGAATTACAAGTCAAGATGACTAGGTTTTAATTGCTGCATTTAGTCTTAGATTCTGGAATTCATCATAGCCAGTGACTTAGCCTTTCTGACTTTGTCTTTCTTACTTAAAATGCACTTGAAATACCCAATTTTTGGATTTGGCAGAAGAGTTTGGAGATATATCGTAATTCCTCAATACTGAAGCACTTGGATTTCCTCTGAGATGGTAACTATATAAATACAAGACATTACTATTAATTAAAAACTCAATAACAAGCCTGAGTGATGTGAGAGCTCTTTCACACTAATAAAAAAATTGCAGTCCAAGGTAGGCTGATTCAGAGTGAGTGCAGTGGTGATGTGGGTTGCAGGATGGCTTTATCATAGAAAACCACTCACTTTGGGCATTTTTTCTTCTTCCACTAGCTTTCTTTGAAAGGCCAAAGTCTAGAACATTTACTAGAGCATAAAGTCACTTTCTAGATATATGTCAGAGAGTCAGTTCCTCAAATATAAAAATAAGCAGAAATGTGTCTTCCAGTCCAGAACCACAACAAATAAATGTTTGCTGTTTGAACCATCCAATCTCCAGTATTTCATGATAGCATGTGACCCGACTACAGTATTATAGAAAAAACTAATGTCATCTTCATTTAAAACTTAAGTAAATCAAATACTGGAGGCTGTGATTTGAGAGGAGTTATATAATCTGTTGCTATCATCAGCACCTCTGAACTTTGATGACATTAACATCAATAGGATGCTTTCCATCCTACAACAAAACAACTTAATGAAGACAATGGTTATTTGGCTCTGGGTTTCAGGAGTTTCTTCAACTTAAAGTCCAAATAAGTGGAATTACACACACACACACACACACACACACACACACACACACACACACACACACTGTGGTCCAGGGAGAGCTTGGAGGACAGAAGCTCACCTTGTGGTAGCAGAATGCTACTGGCTACTTTCTGTCACCTTCCTCTGTGATCATCAAGTGATACATTAATTTAACTGAGTAGGTTTGAGTCCTCAAATCCAATCACATCCCCAGAGCCTCACCACCTTTGAATACAGCATCAGGGATTAAAACTTCAATAGAACACGTGCCTTCATGGGCCATTCCATAGGCAAACAGTAGTAGCCAAAACAGCTATGCTCCTGTCCATGCCCTCTACTTCTTGGAGAAAAAGGTCTCTGAATCTTTTCAGAAGGCAATATCCCAAGCTGTGAAGACTCTGTCTAGTTATTGGGTAAGTTATACTCATTTCAGCTTCTCAAACAGAGAAACCCTGTGTAGGATCTTCTCTGCTCAATCCAAATACCCTTGGGAAGGCTGGTAAGTGCAGCAAAGATCTGACCAAAGGGGTGTTTTGGTTGATATCCCCTAACATTTCTAGCTTTAAATTCTTCTTTGTCAAAGTGTCACCACCCCAGTATGTGTGGGTGCACACATGTATACTTGCATGAATGTTTGTGTTCAAATGCTGTGAGCAGGAAGCAGGGGCCCTGCAGGGGTCTACACCAGTTCTCCCTCATGTCTGTTGTGACTGTAAACTTGATGTTTTTGTGGAATTCCTAACTGTGGGAGCAGGTGTGTCTTTGCATGCTCTTGGGACTTTTCCTCCTGTCGTGTTCCCTTGTCTAGCCTCAGTCAACCTTGTTGTATTTTGTTATGTTTGTTGTCTCTTGGAGACCTTCTCTTTTCGGAAGGGAGATGGAGGAGGAGTGGAACCTGGGGGAGGGGAAATGGGAAGAGTGAAGGAAGGGGAAACTGCGGTTGGGATGAATTATATGAGAGGAGAACCTATTTTTAAAAAAGTTCCCAGTGTGTCAACCTGAATAGTCAGTGCTTCTAGAAGCAGCCTGGAAATTTGGGTCTGTTTATTTCTACATGGTAGAGCAGTTTGGAGCCCATAGAACTATGTGGCCTTACTTTTGATGCCTTTATTTTTGGCAGAAATTGGTGAAAACAACAGTGTTGTTGCTTCCTAGTAACCACGAAATGAAACATTAGTTCACAATTTTCTTGGTGTTGATAAATTTTGCTGAAAATTCTTTTAGCAGTTGGAGTAGTTGCTCAGTGGGTAAAAGGCTTGTAGCAGAAGACAGACTAAGTTCAATCCCCAAAGCCCACTTAAAAGTGGAAGGGAGAACCAATTTCCCAGCGTTGTCCTCTGACCCCCACAAGTGCACTGTAGTGTGTTCATCCTCTTGTCCTCCCTCAATAATTATAATAAAGAAAATGTAGAGTGCTTCGAAGTGCATTCAGTCTTCTACCTCCATTTCCCAATCTGTTCCCAAGTTGCATTTCCAGTGCTTAGAGAAACTTAGATGTGAGTGTGGAAGCCATTACTGAAAAGGCATCTCTCGCTGAATATTGTTCACAAATGTCTTGAAGACATAACTGTAACTCACAGTTATTTTTCTATGTGCTAAAAGATTTCTGTTGTTGAACTGAACTATACATGACAGCTAAAACACATAAAAATGCAGGGGGGATGGGAACAAAGGGGGTGGAGCTGGGAGGAGAGGAGGGAGTGAAAACTGTGGTCAGGGTGTTTTGTAGAAGAATCTATTTCAAAAAATAAGAAAAAATAAAAACAAAATAACACTTTTTGTTATTAACAATCTATAAAAGTTGTGTTGGCCTTTCTATTGTAGAATGTGCATGGTATAGATTTTTGCTCACTTCAGAATTGTCTAGAACCAATCTGAGAGTGGTGTGCTGGCTCTAGTAACCAACAGCAAGCACAGATTCACCATTACCACTGGCAGGAAGGAGACCCCTGAGTCGGAGAACCTGACAAGTCCAATGAATTCCACCATGACACAGAAAAGAAGCCTTGGCATAGACAGTGACTTATTTCTAGGCACTGACATTCAAAAGCCACCACAACCCTTAATGTAGATAACTGCACACACCAAGAAGTGAACATGTGCTGTTGAAGACCCCAAGACTTGATGGAGTTTCTCTGAGTCAACAACATAAACTTTTTGACTGTTTTATGGCCCCATCTCTGTGTTCTGTGAGAGCTACATTCATTAGGTGGATGGAAGGAGCTTGTTCAGGCTGGATCTCCAAGGCTGGTCACACCAGGGCTGAATAGAGACCCAGACTGCAAAGCCCATATTGATACAGAAGTCAGATCACTGGCTGAACTGAGTGAAACAGTTCCCAAAAAGCACTGACATGGGTTTTAAATTTGTCCTTGTCTTCCCATTACTGTTTCAGTCAATGGCCATTGCCTCCTTTGCCTGCTTAGCAAACATGGATTGAAAACTTAGAAAGAGAAATGTCCCCCTCATGATGAGGTATTAGGACCACCTTCTTCTGTTTTTCCTCATGAGATTTGTCAACTCCTCCCTCCCTCCCTCCCATCTCCTTCTCAGCCCCCATGGGACAGATCTGAGCTGTGTTACTTATTTCCTGACCAGTAGTAACTTGTATAAACACTGTGGTCCCTGGTCTGCTGTGTTCACAGCAGTCTGAATACCACCTTCTTTTTCCTTTAGGGAGATATTTTTTCCTGCCCCATTTCCTGGCATGGGACAAAAACTCAATCAACCCTTACTGAATTCCAGAGGTAGAGAAGAAGCCTCAGCAGACCTTGGCAGGATCTACAGGGTTTAAAAAAAGAAAAAAAATACTGGAGCTGTCAGTCTGGGGTTCAT